GGGAGATAATTATGAATTGATTGATTGATTGGTGTTTAACGCCGAGTCGACAATATTTCAGCCATATTTCGTCAGGAAATTATGTTAAATGATCAGTCTGAACTGAGAAAAATTAATAGCATTTTTTTTTTTAAAAAAAACTTCATCTCAATAACCACTGGGTCAGGAAAGATGTAACTTATGTGAAATCATCCTCAGGTAGTGTAGATTCAAGTTTGTTCAAATCATGACCCCCGGGGGTTGGGGCCAAAATGGCCGATCAAAGTTTTGAAATATATAGGATAAATATTTAAAAAAAAATTTCTCAAGGACCACTGTGCCAGGAAACATGAAACTCAAGTAGAATTATCCTCAGGTAGATAAGATTCAAGTTTGTTCTAATCATGACCCCCGGGGGTTGGGAGGGCCAAAATGCCCGATCAAAGTTTTATATAAGAATATAGAGGGAAAATCTTCTCAAGAACCATTAGGACAGGAAAGATAAAACTAATGTGTAATCATCTCAGGTAGTGTATATTGAAGTTTGTTTAAATTATGACCCAGACCCCCGGGGGAAGGTAGGGGCCAAAATGGTCGATCAAAGTTTTTCATAAGAATATATTGGGAAATCTTTTAAAATCTCCTTCTCAAGTACTTCAAAGCCATGATAAGTGATATTTATATGAAATCATCCTCAGGTAGTGTAGATTCTAGTTTGTTCAAATCATGACCCCCGGGGGTTGGGTGGGACCAAAATGCCCGATAAAAGTTTAAAAATCTTCTTATCAAGAACCACTGGGCCAGAAAAGATGAAACTAATGTGGAATCATCTCAGGTAGGGTAGATTCAAGTTTGTTCAAATCATGACCCTCGGGGGAAGGCAGGGGCCAAAATGGTCGATCAAAGTTTTTCATAAGAGTATATATGGAAATCTTTTAAAATCTACTTCTCAAGTACTTCAAAGCCATAACAAGTGATATTTCTATGAAATCATCCAAAAGTAGTGAAGATTCTAGTTTATTCAAATCATGACACCCGGGGGGGGGGGGGGGGTTTAAGATTTAAGCCACCCTCCAAAAACGGGAAACTTTTATTTCTGATCTGATATTTGCTTTTTCCTAGCCCTAACCTGTGTGTGCTCAGGTGAGCGCTGTGGCCCCTGGGCCTCCTGTTTTTTACGTAGTCTGTGATATAACTCACCAAATACATTGTCTGTGCTAAGTCTGTTTGGATACACTGAATCAGCTTATTCAATTCAGTTAAGAATTTTTAAAATATGTTTAATTTATCAATTTCAATTCATTCATACATGTATAAATTAATTTTCACAAAAAAGTGTGAACCAACAATTAGTTAAGGGGACGAACATTTGATCTTGAGGGGGGGGGGGGCTGGCAAATTTTTTTGAGACGGATTATTTATTTTCATGCCTGTCGAGGACAGATTATTTATTTTCAAGATTATGAAGGACAGATTATTTATTTTCTTCTATGTCTTACCGTACCTTGATCAATTGATTCTAAAAGACTAATCATTTATATACCGTATTCGGATACAGGATTTGGGGAGGGGACAGATATAACTTTGTTTAGGCAAGAGGTCTGGGGCCGCCGTAAGGGCCCCAGTGGGTCCTGGGCGAAGCACCCCACCCCCCACGAAGCTCTTCGGGTTTCGTGTATTTTAAGAGTAAAACCAGGCACTATTATAGTAGTATTGGTTATTATGACCCAAAGTATGACATAATTAATACTGGTCATATCGTACTTTGAATGAAGTAAGTCAGGGAGCAAAGCCACCTGAAACTCTTGGGTTTCTCAATATGTATAAGAGTAAAACTTTTGTAGGAATTGGTGAGATGTGTACCAAAGTATGACATTATTAAGTCATATGATCCTTTGAATGAAAAGGGCCTAGGGGGCAAAGCCCCCTAAAGATCTTGGGGTTTTGTGTATTTCAAGAGTAAAACTAGGCACAAAAATATTGGTATTGTCCCAAAGTATGGAATTATTATAATTATTCGTATCATACTTTGTTATTTTAAGGGAGGGTCTCGGGTCGTACACATGTACGTCCCCCTTAAATCTGCCAGGTTATATTTTGTTTTAATTTTTCTGGAAAGTATAATTATTCGACACATGCGCGGATCTAGGGGGGGTCGGGGGGGTCAGCACCCCCCCCCCCCCTGGAATTAACCAGGTTAAAAAATGTATATACTAAAACAAGGAAAAAAGTAACCATGGACCCCCCCCCTGGAAAACCCCCCCTGGTAAACACGAAAATGGGTACGAAAAGTTCCCCCCTCCCCACGAAATAGGTTTTTGACGTTTGGGCGAGTTTTACTTTAGGTTTTTTTTTTTTTGCTTGTCAAGAAATTTCTGGGATAGAATTTTTTTTTTTGACTGAGGTGGACCCCCCTGGAAAAAATTTCTGGATCCGCGCCTGCGACAAGAAAATTTATCTTTTGTGATGTATAAGAATTGGTTTGTATTTAAAGTTATTCATCACACCTACTAAGTGCATATTGTCATGTTGATAAACTGACTTAAGTATCCAGTCTGGTAATCTGATTTTAAATACTTTTTGGTTCTAAAATGGCGAGCGAAGCGAGCCAAAAAAATTTTTTGAATTGAAGACTTTTGAGATTTAATTAAGCGTAAATAAATAAGGTATTTTTACAATTTTTAATTATCAGAAGTCAATGTCAGATTATTTATTTTCTCTGTAGTGGAGGACAGATTATTTATTTTCAACATTTTCAGGGACAGATTATTTATTTCAAAAATCTTCCAGGCCCCCTCAGAATCAAATGGTCGTCCCCTAAGTGTATAGTGAAAATGCATTATTTCTTTGAAAATCTTCTTCTCTGCTCCTTTGTATTAAATAAACCACCTAAGTACACAGTTTTAATTAGCAAGAGTGCCTCTACCAAAATTGTGATATTTATGGCCCCAGGGCCATGGGTTCTGGTGCTAAGGGGGGGGGGCTCTATTTATTATATAGTGAAAATACATGAATTCTTTGAAAATCTTCTTCTTTGCTCCTACGTATTGAATAAACAATCTAAGTACATAGGTATGATGTGCAAGAGTGCCTCTTCCAAACTTGTGAATTTTATGGCCTAAGGGTCAGGGGTTCTGGAGTTAGGGCGGGGCTCTATTTATTATACAGTAAAAATACATGAATTCTTTGAAAATCTTCTTCTGTACTCCTAGGTATTAAATGAACTAATGAAGTACAAATTTATGAAGAGCAAGAATATCTCTTCCAAAATTGTGAATTTTATGGCCCTAGGGTCAGGGGTTCTGGTGATAGGGCGGGGCTCTATTGATGATATAGTGAAAATACATTAAATCGTTGAAAATGTTCTTCTCTGCTCCTGGGCATTAAGCAGATGAACTACATTTATAGCTATGATAAACAGGGTCAAACTTTCAAAATTGTGAATTTCAAGGCCCTGGGTCGGGGGGGGGGGGGAGGGGGGCTCTACTTTTTTACTGAAAATGAATGAATTGTTTGAAATCTGCTACTTGGTATTAATCAAGCATTTTGATAAACAAGGGTGCCTTTTCCAAAATTTTGAAATGTGTGGACCAAGGGTCGGGTTCATGCATGGGAGTGGCGCTAAAAATTGTAAGTGCCATGATGCTAGTTTAAAACATGAACCAAATTCAATCATAGGAAAGTTGTTGCATGATGCTCAGGTGACCTATAAGGCCCATGGGTCTCTTGTTCTATATACCCTCTAACATCTTCAATCGGGGAGGAAGTGACGCGTTTTCCCTATAGGCAAACAGACTGTTTCAGATTAAGGGCATTAAATTAGCCATAGTTATTGAATTTTTAATAATGAGCACTAGAAGCAGTGGAAATACAAAATTAATGCTCAATCATTACTCTTCCTGGAGGATCAATTTTTGTGGGCGGTTACATATTGGCCGTGTTTAAAAAAAACGTGTTTCCATATTGGTAAAATGGCTGTAGCCTACACATCATTGTACTCAATTTGCAAAAATTAAATATTTATACTGCAGGTAATGGTTAAAATGTGAGGAAATTATCAGGAATCGAAACAAATAATATATTTTGTTTGATGTTAAATGCCATAAAATGGTTCATAGAAAATTAAATTTTATTTATTCAACAATTACACGAAAGATGTTTACAGAAGGATTTTTTGTGTTTTAGGAAACCGTTAAACAGATTAAAAGTTAATGTGTATTTTTTAAAAAAAAAGTTTCCATTTAAACCAATTATAAGCACTGTAAAGAGATTGCTTTGTATATCTATAGCATTAAAATTTCACACTTTTGTTAAGTGGTAATGATTAACTTAAATTTCACAATTGTTAAATATGGCCTATGCCTTTTCTAAATTGACTGTTTATATGAGAATTATGGATGTCTTTTATCTCCACTTTAAATTTTCCGTGGCAAACAATTTCTTTTTATTTCATACTTAGCCAAGATTACGTGTGTAAAACCGTAAATGGCAAAGCAAAAAAAAATCTTGTTTTTCCTTTATATTACAAAGAAAATCGCACCATCCTAGTCTTTTTAAGAGGGTGAATCCCCCCAACAAGAAGGTTGAACCTTCTCATGCTGACACTTCAAGTCTGTTGAAGTCTTGGGAGGGATAGAATAATTAGTTATCATTAATAATCATGTTAAAATGGGGCTTGTTGGAATACGTTAAAAACAGTATATATCTTTCCTTTACCATTCTTTTTATTCAGTAAAATATAAACACACAGCACTGAGTAGCAGTTTTACTAACAGGTTCCTGCATTACTCAGTGGTTTGTCTGGTGATTGTGGACTTTAAGACTATTTAGTGTCTAACATTTTTAGTCTTTTTCACATATGTATGAATACATCTGGTGACACTGAGTTGTTCCCCAAATCCCGTCACGACACATAAGTACACAGTCCTGTTCGCCAGAGTTATCAGGTTCATCCGGGTGCCAGTTGAAATAGGAAGTGACCCTATTGTCGTTTTCTGTCCAGACAAATCTCCCCTCCTCTACAATATCGTTGGCACCTGTCCAATGTGAACAACAATCCCACCAAGGGTTACATGTCGCTGAAAAAATGTGAATTGATGTTAAATATTAACATAATCAATAACTACTTAATATTATTGATATAACCAATCAGTCAGTTTTTAGCATTTCCCAAGTGTTTCTTTGCTGTTAATAGAATCCAGTGATTATAAAATTAAGCACTTGTGTTAAAATTATTTACTATATAATTGCGGATACCGTTTAATTACATATAAATAAATTTAATTAAAATGAAAAGTCATATATACCTTCTAAAGAAACTTGAGTATAAATTATTTATTTCTGCATAACATATTAAATAAAAAAAAACATGCAATCTAACAATCAATTGCAAACAAAAGCAAACAAAATATACCGGGATCCCAGACTGGCAAAAAGGTTTCTCTTAACCATGAATTTTCTTCTTCTGTTCCTATGGTAACCAAGTAGGCACCTAGCTTTTCACACTCGTACTGAAATAGACAAGTGGGATCACCTATTCATACTTGGCCACTAGCCTCATTTTAAAATCGTTTCATTATTTGTTATGATTGAGTAAAACTGACAAACGGTTCATGCAGCCATATATTTATAACCCCCTTTGAAAAGTGGGAGGGTATACTGTAATCGGTATGTCTGTTCGTCCATGTGTTACGCTTTAGGGTGACCATCTCTTATCCGCAACTTCTCATATACCACTGAGTGAAATTTAATGAAACTTTCAGAGAATCTTTATAACATATTGCCACTGTGCACCGCCTATATTACTTTTTGATCCGACATATATATTGGGTTTCCCGGCCACAGCAAAACATGGACTTCGTTATCAGTTATAACCATTTGGGAGGCGGGGGTTATCATTTAGTGTGCTCACTCACAGTAGCTCTAGTTTATCCTATTTAGTATTCGTAAAATATATGGAGAGAACATTTATTGTAGAGAAGTTTTTCTTGATATTCCATAAAAATTGAGACACACTGGTTATTTGACGGAATTTTGTGTTAAACGCCGCTCCTGTATAACATTTTCAAAATATGAAATCAAATTCCACGAACCAAGAGTTTTCCCTCAAATCCACGAAAATGTGTCCCCTTGAAAATTTTTTTTAAGGTATATGCATTTTATGAAAAATTAAAGTGGAGAATGTACATCTTGCCTCTTGTTTCATGAATACAAGAAGCAGCTACCTGTCTTCATGTCCGAAAAGACAAAACATGTAATAATTTAAAATATATAAATATGTATAGTTCTAACCTTAGCATCCCACCACGTGTTTCTAGTCTTTATATGTAAGTAACGATGCATTCCGTATGACAGCCAACTTTCTCCTTTAAACATAAAACATTTTTATAGCTGAATATCAAGATCATAGAATGTAATTCTAAGGTAACAAAACATTGTTGATTGTAAATGAAGATCTTTTTTGCTGAATCAGGATTGCACTATTGAAACAAAATCATAATGTCTACATTCTTGTATGACGATATTTATGTACATTGTACATTTAATCATGTATGAACATATATAAATCCATCAACAAAAGTTTTTGTTGTAAGGAATAAAACATACTTATTACATCAACTTGAGAAATAACGGATAACACATTCCAATCAGTTGTTACATATGTATACGATTAAAAAATTCAATTTACAAAGTTTGACAATATGGTGTATTGAATTAAAATATTGTTTTAAAATAAAAAAGTTCTAAATACGTTTTCGCAAATAACTTTTATTAAAGTTTGTTACCTTTCAACACAGCCTCGAAATATCTCCACCCTGTTTCGAAATCACTTACAGATTTATCCAAAGAATTACAAGATTTATAATGAAGATGGCAAGTCTTTCTCTTGGAGTTGTAGCCAAAACAATAACAGCTCTTCCCACACATAGCAGAGCATTGAGTTAGAGACTCAGAATCGTGCGTTGCCCTAAGAGAATCATTGAATATTGTGTTATCTAAGACAGTGTCCGCGATGTAAGACTGAAAGAGGGTAGCATTTGTCCAAATCAACACGGAGCACAAAATCAGACAAAGTCTGCATCCGAAGATTGTGGACTTTATATGTTTACGATTCAGGGCATAAAATTAGCCATAGTTATTAAATTGCTCTTTTAATTTCGAGCAGTAGAAGCATTGGAAATACAAAATTAATGCTCAATCATTACTCTTCCTGGAGGATCAATTTTCGTGGGCGGTTACATATTGGCCGTATTTAAATGAAAGTACTCATGGGAGTTGAACATGGTAATCTGAAAGATCTCACAGGAAGTAGAGGAACATTTTCAATTCTGTTAGATTATAGTCTCGCCATGTAAAAAAAGCGTTTTTCCATATATTTTTTTGCAAAATAAATATTAAATATTTATACTGCATGCAATGTTTAAAATGGGAGGAAATTATCAGGAAACGAAACACATCATATATTTTGTTTGATGTTATATGCCAACAAATGGTTCATAGAAAATTGCATTTTATTCAACAATTACACGAAAAATTGGTTACAATTCTTCTGTTAGGAATCCGTTAAACAGAATAAAACATATTCCCATTTTACCCAAGCAATGTGAAGGGTTGAATTGTATTATGGATTAAAATTTATTTTGTTAAGTGGTTTTGATAGACTTATCTTCATAATTGCTAAGTAAAAACTATGTATTTGTTATTTAATTGTATGGTCAAATGACATTTATGGATGTCTTTCAACTTCACAAGAAATTTTCCTTGGCAAAGCATTTCTATTTATGACATACTTAGACCAGTTTACCTGTGTAAACTGTGCTATAAGTAGCAAAGCAAAATAAAATCATATATTTCCTTTTTATAACAAAGACAATCGCCCCATTCTGGTCTTTTCTTAAGAGGGTGAATCCCCCAAACCTTTCTCATACTAACACTTCGAGTCTGTTGAATTCTTCGACTACACATTAGCACTGCTTGAAAAAACACCTTTACAAAACTTCACTTGCAAAGTAAATTTCATTAAAGGTGTTCCAAAAGCAATGTTATCTTTGTATTAATTTTACAAAAACTAAAGGTGAAATGTAACCTTCACTTACACGAAAAGGTAATTAAATAGAACCTTTCACCTTTGTGCCACATTAAAGTTCCCCTTTTATTTATTAAATATACATGATATTTGATTAAAGCCTTAATTAAATGCTGATTATTGTTTAATACACTTATACTTTGGTTTTCTTGTTAGTATAAATAGGAATATGATTTAATCGACACCAAGATTTTTTAGACAAATGTCAAAGAAAAACAGTATCTCATATTCATTTCTGGTTGAAATTATTATAAGGAATTGCCATCGACAGAATCCAAATTTATACTTTTTTATATACTGCAGAGGGACAATCAAAAATGTAAATCAGGATAAAGGAACAATAACCCTTAAATTCCTAATGAATCAAAACTTTTGTTATCTGATTTGCTAACATCCGATAGAGGGGACTCATTTTGAATTGCTTTTGATAAAAAAATATATTGAAAGCTTTTCTGTGTTAACTTCTTAATAAATATCGACCATAAACTGTTACAAACAATACAAGATTACATCTACATCCCGTCTACAGACGGGCGTATAAAAATGTTTATTTTAAATGCTGAAGTTTGTTAACCTTACAGACAACTTGAATGTATTTTTTATGGAGGTTGTATGTTATAACCTTATCATTTATGTTGCCATTTGATTGACATTCTTTTAAGAAGACAAGACTTTTATGATACAGACAAGTTTACAATTCAACTGATTACATATATAATGGATACCGGTATCTTGCTGATCTTCAGAAAATAATTTATCTTCAGTATGCCCCTCCTCAATTTTCTGAAAGACTGGGTTTATCACTTATTTCTAAAATAATTTTAGTTTTTATGCTCTGAGTGCAAATACTGAGTGGAAGGCACAAGTGGTGCATGAGATTTGAAGCTAATCGCATTTTTTTAAAACAAGAAATAAAAATGTTTGAAAAATTTATCTCTGAGCATGACAAATTTTCACCAAAAGTGGCTATGAGGACAAATGATGTCATCAAATGGCACATTTTCAAAAACCTTTCTGTATCAAGGCGATGAAGTTGATGAAGGGGTATTTGTTCCAGTAAATGATCTACCAGATCCCCCTAAACAACTTTATATAAATTAATAGGATTCCAGCAAGTGTTTTATACGTTACTCCTGATGGGAAAATACATGGTTGCACATACAAAGAAAGGTGTGTGTTCCCGGAACGTCTTCTCCCTATATAAACAGTATAATTATCCCACTTAATTAAGGGGCCCTTCAAGGGGCACAGGTCGAGTTTACCTGTGTTACCTGTGTTTTAAACTGTATGAATAAACTACCTGCATTTATAAGACTATGTCAAAGACTTTTATTGGGGAAATCTTATAGCAATATGTCCTATAAAATGAATTAAATATTATTATTATTTATTATATTTATTACTCAAATTTTAAAACTATTTACTAGGTATTTTAGTCAATTTATATTAATCAATGTTTCAAAAATCTTAATAATAATTCCTATAAAATGAATTAAATCTTATTCAAATTTTAAAATATTTTTTACTCAAATTTTTAAAGTATTTATTTTATTGTGCTTATTAATAATCTTTAATTCTGTTTATGTTTAAATCAAAATGTTAATATTTAAAGCCGCTTGGTCCGATCCTAATCGCTAAAAATATATATTCGTTTTCTTCTTGAAAAATAATTGTCCATAAATAATTTCAACTTTTGTCAAATTATATCCATAAAGTCTTTTTCTTTTTAAAGATATCCAAATTCAAAAGTAAAAAGGAATTTTTGTTAGGTCACACAAAAATAATCATTTGTTTACATTGCGTGGAATCATCTTCGAAAAATTAAATTAATCGCTTACATGTATAACTCATGAAGAACAAACCCGAGCATTTTTCCACAACAAAGTGTACACGGGCAATATCCAGCCCTCGTTACCAAACTCCCTTTTTAAAATCAAAGTACTGAAAGTACTCGTGGGAGTTGAACAGTGTTATCTGAAAGATCTCACGGGAAGTATAGGAACAGTTTCATGCTTTTAGATTCAAGTCAGCTAGAATCCTTAGTCCGTTAGAGATACAACACGAATCATTCAAAATAATTTCTATTGCATTTGAATAGCCAAGATCATGGGACTGCTTTTAGATTAGCTTCAGAACTGTAGCTGTCCGAAAAAAGATTTTGACAGACCGGAGAGCAACAGTGCCATCCATTGAAAAAAAAAACTGTATATTTATTGCGCACGAACAGTTAAGTTTAGTTCTGGATTAATTCTTTCTAATTCTTACCTCAACAATTTGACCAAACCAAACAAACAACCCCCACCACCAAAAAAAATTTCCAAACTCGAAAATACTATTTTGTGGGTAGGTTTCAAACTTCAGTACCATTTCTTACTCAAACTCAAACACTACCCTTATATTTCTGAAGCATTTGAATTCAAACGCCCCCTACTCTTTTTAGAATGTGTACAAGATATTTGGTCCCAAGAAACAAACACTCTTTATATTCATGCTACCATCGCCAGACACTAGATTGTCATTTTTCTTCCTCTGATTAGAATAAGTATTTGCTAATCTCTTTGGGGTATGAATGTTTCTTTTTCGGACATAATAATTGATTTTTATAGAACTCCGTGCTTATCTGTTTTATCAAATGTATCTATCTTTATAACTTAAAGCCATATATGGCGTATGTACAATGAAAATTATTAGACTAAAATTATAAGAACTTATTGTTTGTATCATTACTTTATATAAAGATAGAGCTTTTCCGTAAATTTCAAAATCTAAGTCAATTGCGTTATAAAGATATCACAATTTAATTTGGATTCTCGGAATTTTCTCCGACTCGGAAGAAAATACAAAAGATTTAAATAACACATCACAGAGAAGATAAAATCGTATTATTAGATGAAACGGGGTGTTCTCCGCGTTCGGAATTGTATGAAAAGCTTTAATTTAAATGTATTAACTATATTTCTTTATTTAATTTTGTATTTTAGAAACATTTTTTTTTTGATCAGTTACGCCATATATGGCTTTAATCATAAGTTTTGTTATTCTCAAATTTTAAATTTCCATCAAGTAATTTCTTTATAGAAGTAAGTATCTGAGTACTTTACATTTTGTGTTCGATAATTTTTCAATTATATTGAGACACTACCACTTGTCGACGGAGCTAGCTACATGTAAGTCTACAATTTTTTTTACCTATACACGGCACTCAAAATCCATTAAGTAGTGAGGGATCGTTTTGTGCAAGCATATATTGCGACATGGGATTTCGGTTTTTATGGTCTCATCG